TGATTCCAAAAGATTTTTTTTTTTTTATAATATAATTTATTTTAATAATTTTAAGTAATCATGGGGCACCCTTGGAAGTTTACTGAGGCCACCTAGTGGGCGCCGGCCCCCTGATTTAGAACCACTGCTAAAGAGGTACATGGTAGACTATCAAAAAAAATTTTTTTGCTCCCTCATTTGCTCTAAAAGTAAAAACACAAGTACAAATCCATGCATTTTTACTGCACAAAAGCGAGGAAAAAAAATGTCACTCCGTCATATTTTTATGAATATCTATATAGCTGTATAGGTGAATAGCTGTACAAAGCCCTGTCTTGTGACTTTATTGCTTTTATTGCTCAGGCTGTGCATAGAATCAAATGCGTCATGAGATAAGAGATGAAAGCAATAGAGTACATGGTCAGGTTAGATAAAAGCAGAAGAGGTCTGACGGTTTCCTTTAGTGAACACAGTATCGCTGTTAAACGACTAGAGCTGAATGTTTCAAATTTTTAAACTGTATCTTACATTACTGATCAATGTAATGCAGTTAAACTGCTTTTTAACACAAATGCCATTGGCCCTGGTACTTGGTGTTTAGCTTATAAACAACAAAACTTATAAAACACCACTCCTGTGCTGTATTAACTATTTCCAATTCAGCATGTGTGATTAAGCCAGCAAAACAGCTTGGAAAAGGTTTATAAAAATGTTAATGTTGTTTTGATGTCTAATTGAATATTTTATTAGACATTCATTTTGATTAATGTGCTAATATAAGTGGAAAACATGGTGTTCGGAATTGTAATAGTGCACATGTATTTACTTATAGCGTTCCGGAATCTCATTGTCCAGCAGTGTAATATACAACCTCATACAAAATTAAAGAGCTAAAGATTTTTTTGGAGCTGAAAACAATAACACTGCACTAAGGTTGAAACTGCATTCGTGTTTTCCGGTCTTATACAGGGGAAACTCATTAAAAATGCTCTGCTGTATGGACGTCTCTGAAGATATGGCTGTTCAAAAGACCCTGAACAAAGAAAATCAACAAATTAATTATTAACACCCATAAAGGACATGCTGTTACATAAAGCTGTCAAGAATAATCCACTACTACACATTATAAACTCAAAGGGAAAATGCTTCTGCATATGTGGACATGACTACAGAAAGGAAGTATGGCAGGTACGCATACTGTGTACAGTGTATGCCTGATATATAAAATATGGCTTTTGCCTGCAGAAAATATGACTTGTTATGAAATGCTGCATACCTTAGTGCAAAATGTGGCACATTTTGGTCTAGGACTTTTTGTAGTAAGCATATTTACTTCAAATTATACTGAAAACAGCTTTTTAAAATATTCACATATAGCCTCTTTTTGGGGGACAGACTTGATTAACTAACTAGCATTGGTAAACTGAGCTAATATTTCATTCAGGTTTATAATCCTGGTGTGAAATGGTTTTATATAAATGACGTTTTATCTGATTCCAAATGTGACGTTTGACAAGTGTATTAGCAGCAGGTATTTGAATAACATAGAGAATGATGAGCCATAGGGATATTAGCTCTTAGGCAGTGACTGTTTTGAGAAAAGCTTTATGACACAGAGCCATCTGCTGTTCATAACACACTATTGCAACATAATGCATGATTCCCAATCATGACGTCCACAAAAAAAAAAGAAAAAAGAACACGTGAGTCTATGAGATAGCCTATATTAGCCATCCAATCATAATAAAAACAAATAGAAGGGAGTCACGTGCTAACACAACATAATTTACTTTCCTTATGGAACCAGGTTATCTTAAATTATGTGTACCCTACTGTAATTACATTAAGTTACTTTACTGACCTTTAATATGATGGCAATTTGAAATTGATTGTGTCAGGGTTGGACAAAATTCTTAATTTAAGAACTGATTCCCTTTCATGGAATGTGATAAATGTGAAAAAATTCCGAATTTGAACAAAAAAAAAAAAATCATCACAGCCACACACAAGTTTTGTGACAAAACCATAATAATTACATTATTAATTATGACTAAGCATGCCTATTTTCGGTCATTATTAGTAGTAGAAAACATTTTCTCCAAAAATAACTCTTTTTTTTTCTTTCTTACATCATTGGCGTCATCTGAAATGCTGTGTATATAATAATAGGCAGGCCTAACTGATACTGAAAAATTAATAAAACTATAATATTAAAAACTACAATAACAGCAGTTAAGAATAGGAATTTTTCTACATTTCAGTCCGTAATTTTTGGCATTACAACCCTGCATGGATTGGAATTTAATAAGCATTCTCAATTTAATTCTGGAAGTTCTACTCAGCTGTAGTTATCACTTGATTGATTTATTACCACTTTAGATTATTAATTTAATGACTACGATATTTACTGAAGACCATTTCATATATTTTGAGCAGAGGCTCTCTCTCCTGCAATGCTTCTATCCCAGCATGTGGACTGAGGCCCCCCAGTGGGTTACAGAGGTACTGCGGGTTTTCTGGATTACGTTTTTCTGTAAACAATCGTTAAAATACATTTTACATAGTAAATAGGCATATTTTCCTGATTGTATGTTTGACTGATTATCTTAACCTCTTGTACACATGTCCTAAAACGATAAGTACAAAACTAAAACGACAAACTCAACTAGTTAGAATGGAAACCTAGCGTTGTTCCCAAATACATCCACTAGAGGTCACTATAAACATGATATTGACAGGCGCTCATAAAACTGAGCTGTAGGCCTATATGAAACACTAAACGTAAATTTGGTCGTTGCATAGAGTTTCACAAATAGTAGAAATTAATGGAATAGTATTTTATAAATCGACACATCAGTGGAAGTGACTCCAATGGACACATGGACTATGGGTGGACAATGGAGTATGGACTATGGCCATATGCACTAACTTTTAAAAACACTACACGGCACTAAAAGACCATTCAAGCAACTTCGGCCCAGACAAGTTCTGAATCATTAATTGACAGAGTGAACAGTTCAATGTTTAGAACACTGCACTGATATATAGGCTATTTACTGTAAATGACTGTGTAGAACCTAGAAAATAAACAAGACCTGGCAACCTCGAGTCAACTCGAGCTCTGTTTTCCCTTGAGCTAGAAATGCTGTCGGTTCACTCTTTCAACTTTCAACTTTCATTTTCTCTTGACAGAGGAAGTGTTGAGTACGCGTTGTTCAACTAGTTATTCGAGTTCAACTAGTTCTTTTCGCTCGATGAGCTTTAAAAGGGCTCTGAGGGTTTTGTTCTGTGGTCTGTTAGGGTTGTTTCGTACTTTGACTACTTTGGGTTGGCGTGTTCTTAGTAAACTTCGTTTGAGATATACTCGTCGGATTATCATGTCAGGTGATGAGTGTGAGTTTGACTCCACATGGGAGGATGGACACGAAAATAAAACACCCAGGAAGAAGGTATGTTTGAACTACAAAGATTAATTTTTTCTCTGGTCTGGACTATGAAACATTTATTCACTGAAATGTGTTTAGGTAGGCTGTACGTTATTATGCTATTTACTATCACTTCCGCTTTCTATTTCTATGAATGTGAAACGATTTTACAAACAACTGTCTCATTTTGGGATTTCTGTGTGTGTTTACAGATGTTTCACAGCCACGGAGGGAGTCGCAGGAACATGTTTGCTGCAAAGGACATGCAAGCCTTTCGACATAGTTTCCGGGTGAGTTTCATTACCTTCAAATAAGAAAGGTGTGAAATAAGAGTGTGCCACTCTTTAATGCAGTTGTCCTTTTCTAGGCAAGGAAAAAGGAAGCAGGAATAAACCTAATACGCTGTATTATTTGTATCTCTAACCTAAAGTAGACGAAAGCATGCAGTTACAGAAATGTGACTTTTCAAAAAGAAAGCTTCTAAATAGTGTCATGGCAACCCTTACGAAAATTAACCATGGTTGTGCTACACTAACCATTATTTAACCAGGTTGTTTGTAGTAAAAGTGTGGTACTACAAATGGTACTCAATAAGACAAAAAAAAACAAAAAAACATGGTAACTACACTTTTGCTTTAATACAACCGTGGTTAATTTTCATAAGGTACAGTTTCCTATATTAACCCACTGTCTTACCCATAGATATGTACATATCTATGGTCTTACCCCACTCTACTCACTCTACAAATTAACATGCCAACTCACATTACTCCATTGAAACAAATGTGAAAAACACATAGATGAGTATCTAAATCACACAACAGGACATGCCTAAATGTTGCCAGAGACTTCTAGGCTAAAATCTTACAGATTGTGTTTGTTTCTGACTCAAGGGCTTGGATAATATTAGTGATGATGATGATGGTGCTGGAGAACAAGATAAAGTAAGTAATCCAATAATAAAATAAGTTTCTGCCATTACACTCATAATTAGCCACTTCAAGCATGTCAGTGTACAGTATTAGAGTTATAGAGTTATTTACACAAAACTTGTTTGATAGCTCACTAAGCAGTCTTGATTTGGAGAAGATACTTGATAATGGGTTTGTGTAGTGTTATTATTAATGTTGTTGTTGTTGTTTTTAAGGGCCACTTCTATAACCTAGAATTTTACCGTGGTAAATTAAGATCTTCACCTGATGGTATGGCATTGCACTCATTCTATAGTAAAATCACACTATATATGTTTTTCATTTATCTGTTACAAGTGTTATTCAAGGAAGTGCTTTGACACATTTCTTTGTTTGTGCAGAACTTTACATCAATGATTTTCACCAGATGTGGTTTGGTGAATATGACTTGCTGGAAGATGTTCACTCCTACATTCAATGGTTAGATCCTGTTCCACTTCATCCGGGAGTTCTAGTTAACACTGTTTTAATTATTATGTATGTTGTAAGTGTTTGAATGGCCATCATTCAACTAACCATTTTAAAACTTTGCAGGTTGTTTCCAATACAAGAGCCGGGGGTGAATTGGAGAGCACATGTGCTCTCAAAAAAGGAAATAAAGGTCAGTTTAAAACATTCACTTTATTTACCAACCATCCTTAAAAAAGTATTTATCTGGAAGGATTTCTCAGGAAATATTAGTCTACGTTCAGAAGCTGGTTACAGCATATTGAAAAATAAAGAATGCTTAAAGGGGTGGTTCACTGGGTTTTTTCTAGGCTTGATTGTGTTTATGGGGTGCAGTCTAACATGAGTTAATGCTTCTT